CCGATTGAGCTGATTTGGGCCTGGGTAAAGCGGGAAGTCGAAGGCTGTCATATCAATTAACTGGAGTTGTAACTTGGACCATGATGAAGACGAGTGCAATCCGAAGTATACCTTCCGACGATGGCCCGATTCCGCCGACTGGCACCCAAAGCAGAAGAAACGCCATCCCCGGTGCCCGAGAGCACCTGCTCCCACTGATGTTGGAGGGTCAGGCCTACCAGTGGCTAGGCCTGTCAGCGTCCACACGCGGGACATACGCGACAGCCTGGAAACGACTGCACCAATTCTGCAAACTAGTCGGCACCAAGGTGATTACAGACACCATCATGCTGGCGTTTGTAGCCTACCTGGCATGTCAACATGCCGCGTCAACTGTCCGCTTATATGTCTCGGCGATCCGGGCAATTGCCAAAGAAAACGGCAAAGATCTCTCTTCGCGAAGAGTGGACCTCGCGGTTCAAGGAGTGGCATGTGCACAGGCCAACCAAACTAAGAACGCCAGTAAGCCAATCCTCCCGCCCCATATGGCAGCTATGCGCAATGCCCTGATTCGGTCTAATCTCAACGCTACCGACCGAGCCATGGTATGGGCAGTTATTTGCCCGGGCTTCTCGGCCTGTCTCCGGGCAAGTGAATACACTTCCACAACCGCCACAACCATGTCAGAAGGTGGCCTCCGAACAGAAGACCTCTCCGTCACGCCGCAGGCAATACAGGTCACAATCAAGAAGTCCAAGACCGACCAACTCGGCAAGGGTCACTCCGTCCGGCTCACAACCACCAACTCAACGGTTTGCCCGGTCAGAGCCATGCATACCTATCTCTCCAGACGCCCCAACCTGCCCAATAGACCACTGTTCCTTGACAGCTGTGGCAAGTTCCTGACTGCACAAAGACTCACACGTCTGATCTGTCAGCTCCTGAGCAGTGCAGGGTACCCACCGAACCAGTATTCACTGCACGGCCTCAGAGCCGGAGCCGCAAAAACAGGAGCTTTGAGCGGCTTCACCGAGATCATGAAACTCGGCAGATGGCGAAGTGCCTGCTACAAGCACTATGTCCGCTGTGGAAAGTAACTGTTCACCGTCCGCAGGCGCGCAAGCGCGCACAGCCACACCCACATACACACACCCGCATACACATACGCATGCACACACGCATGCATGCACGCATACGCGCACCCACACTCTGACACCGCGCAAGCATGCATGCAGGTACACACGCTGCGCACACGCAGGTACGCCCACTCGTGCACACATGCACTCACGTTCTAGTGCGGTGCACACACGCTTCTGATACATATGATAAGCTATCTGCTCCACTCAGTTGCTGTGCTATTGCTCTCACCTATGGCATCATACCACCCATTGCTTTTGCCGACTACATGCCACTCAAACCCTTATCAGTGTCACTAAGGGAATAAAAACATACGAATGGCATGCATTAGAACTGCATACATGTAGCTGAAACGCTTGAGTACCACACTAAGGTCATTCAGCTCACCAATGCAGAATTTGGGGGCATTTGGCTGCTTGGTCTGATTCCTAGCTTGTTGGTAACCGGCTTGAGATTTCCAAGGTTGCTATGACAACGTGCAGTCATGCGCAGGGCCACCCAACATGCATTTGGGGCCCAGGAAAGACAGAAACGCGTTGCTAAGCAACAGCAAAAGCGCTCGGCGAGTATCACGCTACTCATGCAGCGCGCACGTCGGCGTAGGGCATCACGCTACCCTTGTGCTGCGGGGTACCACATCGCCCCTCGCTGGAATCAGACCCGCGCCCTGGATACCTTGCGCTGGCCTCCTGACGGCCAAACATCCAACTTGTGCTCTGTGACTGGGGTTGTACATGTACTAGCAACATAACGGGGCCCAGGTGGGCTGACTTTCAATTAGCCAAGTGAGCTACTCAGGCCAGGGTGCATGATCATTATTCGCAGCATGCAGCAGTCGGGTTAACAGTCCTAGAATGCATCTCAGCATTTGTAAAATTCTAATTTCACTGACCAAATTCGGAATTTCTTCATGTCAGTCTCTTTGGAAAGCTACAGATCTCCTCCTTCCAAATATCGCCCCTAAATACCCAGCAGGCATTGAGGTTTCACCTCAACAAAATCGGCTCGTTCAGGTGTTAGGCTTTCATATCTAGCTTTTCAGTTCTAGTTGCTTCCACCCCTTGTGTTGAGAATTGTGTATTGGTGCCATTGCGCTGTCGCGCACCCGCGCGTTTAGTGTTGCATGTCACGTGCTCTTTGCTTTGGAGCGGGGTTTTCATATCTGCGTTTCGACACTGTGTGTGCGCAGACTGTGCGGAGTGGAGTGGAGCATTCATTCGTGATACAGGACAGCAGAGTTACAACAGTTTGAACAGTGATGTATATGCACTGTACAAACATGCGCATTTCTGTGAGGCATATATCCGGCATCAGTCCTCAACGGGTTAAGTGCTGCCCTACCTTCAACACATGAGGTGTGATTGCATAGATCCTCTTGAGAACT